ATGCAGTCTGAATTTCTGTAGGGCTAAACTAAACTATTGAGCCCTTTGAGGACACTTCTTTCAAGGTTTCACATGATAATTTGAAACCTTACCATCCTGGTCAGTTTTGAGCTAGGTAATATCAGGGTAACATGGCCCATGTGTTCTTCTATTATTAAGTTTGTCAGACCCTAGAATTCTGCAACCCTTACCATCTTGCTTAGCAAGCAATATCTATTACGGGCTTGAAATAAAAATCCCACCTAAAGGATGGTGCTACCTGAGGTACATACCAAGCCCCAGGAAGGGGTTTAGCATTAGGAATATATCCTTTCATCTTCAGTTATTCTAGTTTGCTTAGTGACTGCATTTTGTATGGACCACTGCTTTCCGGAGCCAGAGTCTGTGTGGCTCTGGCTGTGCGAGGTGGCAGCTGCTGTGGATTTTCTCCAGGGCAGAGAGCTGGCAAAGGCAAATTTATGTCACTCATCCTCCCTCTGCCATGCAGGAAGGTGGAAGGAGTATTAAAGCAACTGATCCCATTCTGATACTCCTGGAGTGACAAAAGACTGCTTTAGGCCATAAATGGTGATGTTCTGTACCAGCAAGTGACCCAAGTAATCTCCACCTGTCAGCAATTGCAGTGTCATTGCTCACTTGAGCTTTTGGGTGAATCTGGGATATTACATATAATTTTTTTATTTAGGATTCCTCAGCTGTACCAAGCACATCCCTGATGTTAAATAAATAAGTATTACAGACATCTTTTCTGCTTTCATGAATTTCACATCTGGGCACAAACCAAATGCTCACCTCTCTTATGTTTCCAAACACCGAAAGAATTTGGATTGTTAATGGTTTGTCCTGTATTGGTTTTCATGGCCATTGCGTCTTTAATGCACCGTGCCATCCACATTCTTCACAGTGTCCTGGAGACCAAGAATTGTCATCCTGCATGAAGCCAAATGCCAGCGTTAGAAGTGATTCATTGGAAATGTAAGAAATTCTTCCCTGTTGTAGTTGATTGATGGCAGTGACAGGGCATTTCACTTGAGACTGCTTCAATACAGCTAATCTTAAGTCCAATTTAATATTAGACACAATCTTCCCATCATGCAGCTGGCTGACAGGAACATCAGAACATTTCTTTTATCTTATTCCTGCACAGTTTAAGAAACACACATCGAAGGGCTGAAAAAGGTCGTTAAAAAAGAACAAAAACTGGTATTATGTCTCTTCTTTCAAGTTTGAACGGAGAATTTTCCATGGCTGTGTGCTCTGAAAAGGGCTGTAATCTAAATGACACACTGCTGATCCAGTGATCCAAAATGGTTTTTAAGGTTTGGGCAAGTGCTGTGGGCTAAGTTCAGCTTTCTGTTAGACCTCCTTCCATATACAGGTATGTCTAAAGCAATGGTGAACTCTTATGGTCAAACATTACAGCAGAGGTGCAGTTGAACCGTTTCAAGGGTACAAATCCAAATTAAAATTCTGTGATGCAGAAAGAACAAACTAAGACAGATTAAAGTAGGGGAAAAGAGCTAGAGCACTGTGATTGATCTCCTAAGGATATTGCAGTCTGTCTGAGAGGCCAACAGGAAAGCTGCTTATCATGCGTAGCATTTGTAACAAGCGTTCTGCTGGATTCTGACATGCTGTAGAAAAAATGAAGAAACACAGATGCCAGTCTGGCCTCTGTAAGCAGTCCAGTCCTGAGATTTAAAAGCAATGAATTCCTTTTTTGCATCTCCTGAGTATAGTGTTTTTGCTGCGCATGTGCTCGCCCCCTATGGGCTCTCTTGTCTTTGTGCCAGCAACTGGGTGCTTTTCACATTGCCTGCCCCAACCATTTCCTAATTTTCTGCCTCAGCCAGATGTTCCTGCCTTTACACAGCCTGTCCCTCACTTACATCCTGTCTGAGCCTTCTTCCTTATTATCTTGGTGCTGAATTGTGTTACGCTAACGTAATACTCTCTATTAGCTAAATAGTCTCAGTTCATTTGGGAAGGCAACCTTTAATAATTAACAAGAAGCTTTACTGAATTTTACTGAAGCATACTATGATTAGGATATTATTTATGGTATTTTGATTTATTTTCCATCATTAAATATACCACTGGAAAATCTTTTTGTGAATGTCCAAAGTTGCAGACTGTATGAGAATCTTACGCATGTATGTGCATGTATACCAAGGCAGTTTATGCATTTTCATTCTTCCTGTATTACCATTTTACTTCCCTGTTGTTGTTTTTTTGTGAAGGGAGAGAAAAGTACATTTTACAGCCTCACTTTCTAGTTTCTTTTAGCAAGTCCTTTAACAATTGAGGCAGAATACTTCATTACAACAAAAGAAATTTTGACACTATCAAAAATACAGTGTAAAATATGCAGAGAAACTGTTCAGAACTTGTGTGAAATGGAAATGTATAAGATATGATACTACCTGTTTTGAATCACACCACTGACAAAAATTTGTGATTGATGCCAGTAGCCCTGTCTTAAATTATTGTATTCTTATGGCTTGCCTTGTGGATTAATAGTAAAAGCAAAACCTCATTTAGCCACTCTATTTTGGGGGCTTTTGGGGGCTTTTCTGTGCTTCAGGCATCATTATTAATCCAGGCTCGTTCTGTACATTTCTGACTGTCAGGCTTTATCTCCTAAGCCTCCCTTTCTGGATTGGAATATACAACCATTTTATGCCACTAGTGTCAAAAGCAAGCCAGCCTGCATGAGGAGGGTGGAGCTGTCTTCTGTCTGCAGTGCTATCGGTGATGAGACATGAGGCTGAATGCTTGTAAATATGTGCTTAATCTCCACTCAGCTTTAGCTGAATCAAACTATCTTAAAACACCAGTGGAATTCAACAGGACTTTAATTCTTCTGTAGGTAGGTACAAGTCTTTGCCAAAAGCCTGAACAAGTGCTGGTCCTTACATCGTCCCATACATACTACCTTATGTTCTAATTTGATCACATTAAACCCCAGTAGATTGAAGAGTAGCTTGTTCAAGACCCTGAGCTCCTGGTGGGGTTTAACATAAAATGTAAATACTGATAATTGTTTGTCAGGGTGGCAACCTCAGCTCACTAAAGGCTGAGACAGTATTTTGCAACTGTGTGTATGAATTTTCTAACACGTTAATATATCTTTACAAAATAACAATGTGTGATACTTGATTTTTGCATTCGTCTGTAACATCTTCATGTTCACGTCCCATGTTCTCCTGGGATAATTTAACTGCTTTGATATCTGCTAGAAGGGCAGCACAGGAAATAATCCAGATTTCTGGATTGCAGTGATGGTAATTTCCTAACACATGTGAGCTGATAGGGGCAGGTGTTCTGGCTGGACCTCATACTTACAAGCATGGAGGAACTGGTCAGGTTGTGAGGTTCAGGAGCAGTCTTGGTTGCAATGACCATGAGATTGCGGAGTTCAGGATCCTGCAAGGAGGGGAAAAAAGCCAAAAGATAGGACTACAGCCCTGGTGTTCAGGAGAGATGACCTTTTCATGTTCAGGTGTCTGCTTGGAAGAATGCCGTGAAATACAGTCCTAGAGATAAGATGGTCCAGAAGAACTGTGTGATTTAAAACACAGGACAAGGTTGACCAGGCAGGTTGTAGAGTTGGAGATAGATACTCAAAACCTGACTGGATGTGGTCCTCAGCAACCTTCTCTATATGATACTTTGAGCAGAGGAGGTAGACTAGATGATCTTAAGAGGCCCCTTAGTAATCTCAGATCTCTGACTCTCCTGGAATACCTGCTCTAGCTGACTGCTTGAGCAGGCAGAAGCAGACTAGACAATCCCAAGAGACCCCTTCAAACCTAAATAAATACGTGATTCTGAGAATATAAACCAGTAGAGGCACACAGAGTCTTTAGGAAGAAGTTGAGAAAGGGCAGAGTTCTATGTTTTGAGTTTTATTTTTTCCTGAAATTTTGTCAGGTACTCTGACATGTTAACTCAGGAACAAATAAAAATGGTCTTTTTCAATGTGAACACAAATGAAATTTACACACAAACACAAGGAACCATAATGGTGTGTAACTTACATTGTATTTGCAAATAAGCATTAAAGACATAAACTGTATTACTTGTAAAAGACTGTAAAAAGTATCAGTATTAGTGACTATTCATTCAAAGATGGTTTAATGTAAAATAACATTTTGCCTACGTTCTGCCTGTTTGACTCTAGCTTCTACTGGAACAGCTGTGGCTGGCCCAGTGGGGGTAATGGTTTTCAAGGTAAATCATAAGACCACCCTCTTTGTGGTGGAGGCCTAGGAGTTAGTTCTTTGAACTTCGGGCATATCTCTTATCACTACTGTTTGAGCAGCTCATGGATGTGAACTCCTGGCCAGTGCTGCATGACTCTCTCACTTCTCCCGTGAGACTACAGCAGCAATGACACAAAGCATTAAGTGCACAGATAAATGAAAATGAGATATCCATGCACAGATAAATGAAAATGAGATATCCATGAGGTACTTCACCGTTCATTGGCCCACATGTGCATATCTACTATACATAGATATGTTTTACACCTTGAGGCAGTAGTTTGACATCAGATAAATCCCATATTACTTGTCTTTCTTGAGCACAAGCAATGCACAAGAATTAATGTTGCTTGTTCCTGAACAATTAAGTCATTGAGATCTGCTTGAATAAATTGTAATGAAGGAGTGTTAACCAGGGGCAACTAAGTAGATAGAAGTACAGTTTATGCTTTATAAACATACTAAAGTAAGATATATCATATTAAATTATAAACTTCAGTAAGATGTCAATTGGCAAATAAAAAGCTTTTCAGTAAAAAACACCCAGCTTACACATATAAACCAGTTTAAGCAATATATCAGAATATATTTTAAAGAATAATAAATCAGAATCATGTAAAGAAGCTTTATAAAAACACATTATTGTACTTGATAATGTTTTGACAGTGTAATAAAACTTTATAATGCATGTGGTTAGACTCATTTTGATGATAAAATTTCCTTTTTCTTTTGCAGAAAATGATGAGGTCATCTGTGTTTCATATGTTCATACTAAGCATGGTGGCTGTAGATGTGATTGTTGCTGCTAGTAACTACTACAAAGGGGAAAATTTCAAGAGACAATATGATGAATTTTACTTAGCTGAGGTGAGTATGCTGAAATGACTATCTGGATATTTTTCAAGATAAGCTACAGTGTAAAATGTGAATGTCAAGTATATTTTAGTATGTATTTTTTTTATTCCCTTAAGCATTCTGAGAATTCTTTGCTAACTTGTTCAAGTTCCTCTGGGTGACAGTGGCTGACAGCCCTATCTTAGAACCTTTTGAAAGGTAATTTCCTCAAACAAAATGTCAGTGGTAATGAGCTGAGGCTTAAGTATAACATCTGCAGGCAATGCATTGCTGCTGAGTTGCTATCTTTCTTTTGCAGGAGTGTAACATCCAGAAGAATTCAACTTCAAAAAAATGACAAAACACTGTCTTTAAAGAATATAGTACATTTTTCTATCATCCTTACATTTTCCTAAATCATCTTTATTCAACGTACATGTAGCTGCAAGAAGGTCCTGACGCATAACCAAAATAGTCTTGAAAATAGCCTGGCTTCAACAGCCTCAAGAGCACACATAAAAATAGTACTTATCCACTCATAAATTTGGTGAATAAGGAGGCTATGCACCTGAACCAGTGAAGAATGAGTAAAAAGTTCCATTACAGATGACATTCTGGCAGGGAGCCTGCTTCAGTCATTGGCTGGTCACAGATTTTGCTGTAGAGCATGCACTGGAGATCCTAGAAGCTTGTGTTTCTAGCACTATTTAATTCAGTTTGAAAAATAAATAAATGAAAAAAGAATTTAAGTCTTTGGTACTAATGTACAGCCATAGCTTAGAATAGATACTTGTTTTTCCTGAATCAAGAGTAAAATCAGTATTGTAGCATTCTTTATTAAAAATATTTACTTTGGTGGGCACTGTGAATTGGCACTTTATCTGACTATAAAGCCACCAGTGCTGAAATTCACCAAGATTAGTTCTCTGAAAGTGTTGATCATGGTTGCCTGGATTGGGCACATATGTCTACTGTTATGGTTTCCCTGGTTTCAATAATTAGAGAGTCCTTCTTTGGGGCCAGAGGGGACATTCTTAGGCTAGAGTGCATGGTAGCAGTATATTCCTTGTGATTCCTTTGCCATTGGTATTTGCCGTTTGTTGCTGGCAACAAATACATCAATGGCAGAGGAATCACAAGTCAGCAAGTTCAATGATTTCTGCTCTTGTGGTTTTAAATGTCTTAAATACCTTTGAGAGTCAGACTCAAATGCCAACTATAAACCCCCTAGTCCACAACATTATGATGCTTTGTGAATCTCCCCCTTCTAAGGGAGGTTGAGTTGATAACCATTTTTTAATTTATCTTGGTTTTAGAATTTGTATCAAACATGATATAGCTGGAGATAGCTGTAGTTTCTGTGAACACTGAATAAATGTTGGCCCAGCCAAGAATTACAAGAGTAACTGTGAAATGTGTTATCTTTATTTTATCTCAACTTATAAGCATATTCAAAAAACAACATGAACTTGAAAGAGGGTGGTCCTGGGAATAAGACATCAGAATAAAACCAACAAATGCTGGATTTTCTTATGACACCCCCCACAGATTTGAGGATAGAAGTGAGGACAGGGAAACGCATTTTAATCTCTGTTGTGGTTTAAAACTGGCAGGCAGCTCAGCCTGCCGTTCACTCCCCCAGTGAGAGTCAGTCACTCACTCTCCCTCAGTGGGATTGCAAGAGAATTGGCTCATGGGTTTAGATAAAGACAGTTTAATAGGGAAGGGAAAAGCTGTGTACACAAGCAAAGCAAAACAAGAAATTCATTCACCACTTCCCACGGTCAAGCAGGTGTTCAGCCATCTCCAGGAAAGCTGGGCTACATGATGGGTAACCATTACTTGGGAAGATAAACACCATCACTCCTAATGTCTCTCCCTTCCTTCTTCTTCCCCAGCTGTATATGCTGACCATGAGACCATATGGTATGGAGTATCCCTTGGCTGGTGTCAGCAGTCCTGGCTGTGTCCCCTCCCAACCTCTTGTGCACCCCCGGCCAGCTCACTGGTGGGGTGGGGTGAGAGGCAGAAAAGGCCTTGACTCTGTGCAAGCTCTGCTCAGCAACAGCTCAAACATGCCTGGGTTATCCACACCATTTCCAGCACAAATCTAAAACACCACCATACAAACTATGATGAAGAAAACGAACTCTAGCCCAGCCAACTAGGCCGGAAACAAATAATTAAGTCAGCATTAAAGCCTGAGCCCATGAACTTCTCGCTGTTTATGCCCAGGATACAGCAAGTCAAGCCTGGATTCTTAACAAAATAACATTAATTCTATTTATACTCAAAAATAGGAAACGCTGCCTGTGCTATTCCTATTTTGGCACTGAATATATAGTATAATTATGCTGTTATTAATCAGTGCTAGAAACACTCTCTTCAACATCAAGTGTACATTTCAAGTGCAGGGTTTGGGTTTTTTTTCCCCAACAGAAATATTTGACAGGGTTTAGTAATTTGAGATGAGCATGTTGTTAGACTATAATTCTGGCCCAAAAGCAACATCCGGTTTTCTTTAAAGATACATTTTTCTGTTTCTGCATAACTTAGATTATTGATTTATTAGGGGGAAAGTTGTCATAAACCTCATTTTTTTACATTCTACATGTTTACATTTCTAAGTATGGAATAGTGAAAGGTATTTTGTTTATTTACAAATAGGCATGCTTGTTTGATGTCCATTTGTTAGGTTTGTTATTGTTTTTAAACTTTGATGCTTTTACTGGTGAGACTAAAAAATCAAACCAGAACAAACCCCTAGTATCTTACAGAATGAGGTATAAAATACAGTATCAGAACAGCAGAAGAGCAGAAAAATCCTGGGAGAGGGGAGAAATTGGTAAGCTGGTGTCATTTGCTACTTGGTTATTGTGAAACTTGTTCTTTGCAGCACAGGATGTACAAAGAAATTGTTTTTAAGAGCCTTGAGGAGACTGAATACTGGATTATTCCACAGTGGCTGGCTTGTTCCCTTGGTGAGGGAGACTGGTGGAAGCAGGATGCATTGCTGTTGCTCTGTACTTCCCATTAGACTAGGGTGCAGAAAGCTTTCCCTTCAGAGGGAGCTGACTTGAGCAGCTGACAGCAGTGGGGATTCCCTTTGGTAAAGAAAAAGGTCTGACAGATTGCAGCAAATATACCTGGATTTCTGGTATGTTTTCTGGAAGTTGTCTTGGAAGCTGCTGGCTTTAGGAGCAGACTAATAAAAATAAAAATCTAATAAAATAGCTCACTTTGTCCATTCTGTGGGCCACATGTTGTAGTAGCCTAGAACTGTAGAAATGCATCCACTTAAATGCAGTAAACAGATCTAAGTGAAGTTACTGAGATACCCAGTACCAGAAAAAAACCCAACTGTTTTTTGTTGGAAAGAGAAGACGAACTCAAGAGAAAAAGGGGGCAGAGGTTAGACGAGAAGATAAAAGATGAATTTTAAACGCAGATCCCACTGGCTCCATAAGGTTCTGACAAGCATTTCGGCTTGTGTACATCAGCTCTGAAGATTAAGCAAAACCAGAATTTTAACAGGGTGACTCAAAACCCTACTGCATAATCTGAGAACCTGGGAAGAGTGGAGCTTCAAACTTGTTTCGATAGCTGTTGTTGAGATGTTGACTTTACGTGCTCAATACAGAATAGTGATGAATGTTTGTTTTATATGCAACAGCCATATTGTCTTCCACTGAAAGATGTTACAAACTACAAAGTTTACCGTAGATGTGTGAAAATCCTATAACTATTGTTTTAAATGCTCTGAAAACCAGAGTTCAAAACTGGGTGCTCCTGTGCACTTCCTCCTAGGTTCTTTTGTAGTCCGCCCACTTGCACTGCTGCCTTTGTGTAGCCTTTGCCCTGTCCTGACTGAGGGAAAGATTAAGCATTGTGTCAAATCTGGTAGCATGGCAAGTGCTGGAGGTCTGTGCCCTTAATCCCAGTGACCCTGCTCAGAAGTATTCTTTCCCAACAGCTTGATAACCTTTCAAGTAAGCCAGTTACAAAGAGTCTGTCACTGTTGAACATTGACTGACACTGAGCTCTGCCTCTGCAAACAAAAATGTTATGGGGCTACTGGAAAAACATAAAGTTGCTGAAGGAGGCATTAATACTATAAAGCTTCCAGGTGACTGAACAGGAGGTAGCCCTCAGAGAAGCAGCCCATTCCTGGTAGCTCCTCTTTGTCCTTCCCAGAGCAAAATTGGCAACCTGGTGGAGGATGGCTGCTCATGTGTTTTATCTGCTTTTTCTGTGTGGGTCTGCTCTGGCTTCTTATGAGAATTTGCCTTTCCCCTGTCTCTACAGCAATGAAAGGAGTGATTTCAGCTTAAAAAAAAAAACCCTGTAAAATTGTATTACTTTTCACACCTAACAAAAAGTTCTAGCCAGATATTCTGAATCTTCTCCTGTAATTAATTACAAGGAAGGAAAAAAAATA